ATCCCTTGTAAACCGTATGACTGCGATGTTTTGACGATTTCAACTCGATGGCCCCCGTGTAATCAACACCTGTTGCGTAGAAAGCGCGTTGAGGAGCGTTAACGCGTTGCGAGGGTAAATCTCCCATTAATTGTGTAGTGGGTTGTGGGTTATTACGAAAGCACTTTATGCAATTTTTAAGATGGTTGCGCACCGTTTTGCGCGCATGTATGATCCAAAATTGTTTTCGGATGGTACAAAGTGTTAATTGGATACCACCGTGTAGGGTATTGAAATGAGCGTTGTCAATAATTAACTTCGTTACATGGTGGTTACTCGGCAATATCATTGGGTGTCGTTGGTCGTAAGGGAGGAGAGAATGCTTAAGCCGACCGCGTACACGAAGAACGTTTCTTTCTCCGAGAAACGGCGTTAAGCTGACGAGTTTGCTGCTATTTGACACAACTTGTTTGGTTTCGATCAAATGTATTTCTGTTCGAAAAGCGTCTTGTTGCACCAGTCGAACGATACAAAACAAACTTTGTTGTAACTCACTTGGAGTCAGTGGGCCACCTTTTGGTCCCTCGTGGTTAATTTTACGCTGAAGATTATAATAAAATCGTAACATCCAAGCGGTGATGCGTTGAAGTTTCTTAAGTGAAGAAAAACGTTGTACAAACGATGAGATTGCAACAACTGCATGAATATGAACTTTAGCCGGTTTTTCTTCCAGTGTTGTATCACCGACATCTAACGCGTTAATGGAACAAGTTGGCCAAGTTGACTTGGGCTGCGTTAGCCACCGTGGTCCATTCCACCAGAGTTCCAAATCTTTCAACTGTGTTGGTGACAAACCGCGCGTGGCGCAATCTGCAGGGTTTTCTTTAGTGCCAACATGCCTCCATTGACTAGGTGTACTGTGCGACAATATTTTGCTTATACGATTTGCTACATATAGTTTCCATCTGTTGAGATCACCGTGAATCCAATAAAGGACAATTATTGCGTCTGACCAGAAGTAGACTGGCAGTTTTCCATACACTGGCTTGAGGGTGTTCTGAACCCAATTGGAGAGATCCAATGCCAGCACAGCGCCGCATAACTCCACTCGAGGGATTGTAAGTGAGCCGATAGGCGTGACCCTGCTTTTAGCGGCGACTAGGTGTGTGTAAATGTCCTTCTTGCTGTAGTGCAAGCGTAAATATACCGCTGCAGCATATGCCGAGGAGGAGCCATCACAGAATGCATGTAGTTCTACCGACTGAAGTTGTTGTTGCGGCGAGTAATGTAACCAGCGTGGAACAGAGATCGCCTTTACCTGTGGCAATTCAGTAACAAACCTTTGCCAGTTTGCATTGATAGTCGGAGGCAATTCTTCATCCCAACCTAAAGCTACATAATGATCATCATCACGTTTAATTTTCGTTGCCCAAATCTCCTTTAGGATTACCTTCGCTGCTACAGTAATCGGGGTAAGAAATCCAAGGGGATCGAACAAACGGGCAATGGTTGACAGAACCGATCTTTTTGTTGCGCTGGAGTTGATAGCAAATTTGACTGAGAAAGTGAAAGAGTCGAGATTCGGCTGCCAATGCAGGCCAAGCGTTTTGATCGTCTCGTTAGTGTTGAGTTGTTGTGCTGGATCATACGATTGATGCTCGTATGGAATAGAGTGCAAAAGTTCAGGAGTGTTACTGGACCATTTTCTGAGTTCCATGCCAGCTGACTTTAACGCCGCTATCAGTTGATCACGCAACAGTCTTGCATTAGCAATTGAATCACTTCCGCTTAGTACATCGTCAACGTACATCTCGTGAAGCAAAATATTCTCAGCGAGGGGGAATCGGTGTTTTTCATCGTGCGCGAGCTGATGAAGAACTCTAATTGCAGTGTACGGCGCGGACGCTGTTCCAAAGGTCACCGTCGTGAGACAGTATTCGCAAACATGTCCATCTTTGTTGCGCCACAATATGCGTTGATAATTTGAATCCTCTAGGTTCATGTCGATACATCGATACATTTTTTGTATATCGGCCAAGAAGACGTATCTATGCAGTCGCCACTTCAGGATGACAGCCGAAAGGTCGTTTTGTAATGGTGGGCCAGTGCATAGTAAATCATTCAATGAACGTCCATTTGACGTTTTCGAGGACGCATCGTAGACAATGCGTAATTTGGTAGTGACACTCGTTTCTTTCACCACCGCGTGATGCGGCAGTACACAGGATGTTACGGTTAGCTGGTTACATTTGGTAGTTGAGCAGTGCTGTTCCTCCGTTGTCATAGCTGGGCGAATTTGGTTCAGGCGAAAATAGTCCTCAATTCCATCCTCATATTGCTCACGGAGATCGGCATTACGCTGGAGTCGACGCTCTAGCTGATGAAATCTGTTCAGTGCAATTTGTTTCGACTTGCCTATAGTTTGGTTAGGATCATATAATGACTTCAGAGGCAAACGAACCAGATATTTACCATTTGCTTGTCGAGTGTAAGTGCTACGGAAAAAATCTTCGCACCACTGGTCTTGAGCGGACATTGGTACAGAAGTGGGCACATGTTCGTTCTCAAAGAATTTTCGCACAAGCCCTTCAAGCTCAAGATTGCTGTGGTGGCAGCGAATAGTGACAATAGAAGGCGTGTCAGAATTTATTCGTCCCGACAGGATCCATCCCAAATGAGTTTTTTGGGCAATAGGTTGGTTAACATGGCCAATGCGGGTTTCCGGCTCCAATATTTGGGCGATCATGTCTGCGCCGATAATGAGGTCAATTCTTTTCGGCTGGTAGTATTTGGGATCGGCGAGAGCGAGTCCTCGTAGATGTGCCATATCTTGTGGCACAATTTCCTGGCTGGGCAGGGGTGCTGTGAGTTGCTTCAGAACATAAGCAGACTCAATATGAGCGGCGAAGTGTTCATCGTGGCATGAACGAAGAGTGCAGCTAACCAATGATCGTGATTGGCTAAATAGGTTTGGGCCTACTCCGCATATATCTGCAGCGGTGGGATGACGCTGCAGGCCTAATTGCTGAACAGCATTTTCTGTAATAAGCGTTCCTTCGGATCCTTGATCGATCAAAGCGTGTACTATCGCCGATCGATTCGTGATTTCGTTGCACAGCACTACTGCACCCTTCCGCCACTAAACATTTCCTAGACTAAATTTGGAGCTGTGTAG